GAATACTGGTCGTCCTGAGGAGATTTCCCACATTATAATTCCAAAAGAATAAATATCTGACGCCTTTTCATAGAATTGTCCTTGTAAAATTTCAGGCTCTAGATAAGGTAAATTACCATAAACCTTTTCAGGCTTCATATTTAATGCCTCATCAACTGATATTGAAATTCCAAAATCTGAGATATATGCACTATATAAATTTTTTTGCAATATATTTTTACTATGTAAATCCCGATGAATAATATTATGAGAATGGATCATTTTAACATCACAAGCAATATCTGATAATAATTTTAGTTTTTCTCTCCATTTCATTTGTGCAATTGAATTAAGATTCTCGTATAAAGATCCTCTTGGTGCATAACGCATAACCAGTATATAATCCCCGGTAGGTTCGTGTTTTGATATTCCCTTAATTTGTGAAAATGCAGGGTTTTTACTTCCAACATTATAATATATCTTCAACTGTAAATGTTACGATAAAAGAAAACAAAATCATTAATCATTAATCAGAGGAAAATCCAATATAACCATGAAATGCTTACCTCATTTAAAAGTTTTTTACTACAATATTTTGATCCATGAACCAGTTTCAGTGCAACTTTATCTGACCGATATTGCCCATGTCATTCAGCAGAATATACCGTAGAAAACCCTCCTTTTCCAATCATTCGTTGAAATTGTAGCTCATGTAATGGGATCCAATCTAATAAATATTTGTTTTCATTTAACGATTTGTTTAGAAAATATTTAATTTCTGAATCTTCATAGCATTTTGTTACTGTTATACTAGCATTTACTTTTCGCAACAATTTAATTGCTTTTTTTAGATTTTGGGATGTACCTATTCCATTTCTATAGCACCATCCAAGATTATATTGCGCTTTTATGTTTCCACCTTTTGCTGATTTCAGATACCATTTAAACGCTTCGATCTCATTTTTATCGGTTCCTATACCATGTTCATAACAATATCCAACACTATTTTGTCCATAAATATCATCATTTTCTGCAAGTTTTAAGTTACACTCAAATTGCTTCCTTTCGTCTTTGATTGTCCCAATATTATACTTATAGCACTTGCTAAGGCTATACATTCCATTAGAATTTCCACTATTTGCAGATTTTAAGTACCATCACTTCATCTTTGGCTATTCCAATGCCGTATTGATAACAAAATCCAATACTATATTGCGCATTAGAACTTCCACCTTTGGCAGATATTAAGTACCATTTAAAGGCTTTACATTCGTCTTTTACTATTCCAATACCATTTTCATAACATAACCCAAGAACATAATGGACATCGGGTTGTTATTTTCTGTTTTTGAAAAATATTCAAATGTCTTTTTCTCATCATTGGCTGTTCCAGTGCAAAATTTGCAACACAATCCAAGATTATATCGTGAAAATATATTTCCTCTTTCTGAAGAATTTAAATACCATCTAAATATTTTTTCACCTGTGGTTTTAATACTGTCTTTATTATATAATCCAAGGCAATTTTGTTTCTTAGCGTCTTTATGATTTATTAATTTTGAATACCACTCAAATGTTTTATACTGGTGTTCTATAAGAGTTGCCATTACCAAAATAACACCAAATAATTGATTAGCCTCATCTCTTTCAATCGGGTAAATTATTCTACTAGTTATGTTATGACACTATCGGTATTAATTGACGTTAGGTTAAGTTTTAATTTATTGTCTAAAAACAAATAAATAATTACCTTATTAATATCTTTAAAATATGTATTATATTTATTTTTCTGGTTACTTTTTTTCTTCTTTAAATGAGTTTTCATCTTAATAGTAAAATTTATAAAATCTTCAAATTCCATCATCAATGCGGATATCTCATTATTAATGAATTTCATCATTTTCTGAAGATTGAATAAAAATATTTGCATGGTTTTGACATTTTGGTAGTGAAGAAATTCACTATATTCATCATCACTTTTTAAGGAATGGATAACTGTTATAACCATTGTAATTCTACAAATTAACTCATTATTAATATGCACATCATATTTTGTTGATTAGATAATGCTACATCAATAATGTTCGCTATATTAGATATAATTATTAAAAATTTTTCTTCTATATTCATAATTTTAACTAGCTGTATTATTTTTTTGTCTGCATCTGATATATTATATTATATGGCAGTGAGTATCGCCAAAAGAGACGTACTTGGGCTTTCAAAAATTATGTTTAGAATACTTGTGATCAAAAAGAATGTTTGATGATTGTGCTAGCATGACAAATACGGGTGGGTATACTTGCGTACGTATTTGCATCCGTATTTGCGTCCGTGATACAAGCTATATATGAAGGTCGATTAAAGCGGACATACTTCATAAATTACATTCTTGATATCTATATAACCCACTAGCCATAACTGATCAAAAAATAGCCCTAAACCTCGCTCCGCAAATTCAAAAAAAAAATTGTAAAGATAAAGAAAAACGAGCGCCTAAACTGACCCTCGATATACCAAGTAAAAGTGCTGAGAATGGAATTTTGTTTATAAAAACCATACTTGTTTAGTCTCTACCACTTACCCTAACAACTAACCTTGATTCTTTAGCTACATATATTAAACGTTAAGTTTTTTTGGTTAGAATATCCTTTTTTGGTTTGTATTATTGTAGCAAATAATATTACGTACGTAACAGTTCTCTAACGCTAATACAGTTAATCTAAAATAACCAACATTTTAACCTTTAACTTTTAACCAAATAAAAATCCTATAAAAAATACATTCTATCCAAATCACACATACATGCAAATATCAATACATACATATTTATTAAATGTGCATAATACATAAAATAGTAATCACAAGAATAATACCTATACAATAATAACTTTCCAAACACAAACCTTACTCATCTCATAAATAATTAAATATACAACTTATAAATCAAACACATCATCTACCTCTTTTATACAATATACATACAATAATCCAAAATGCGCATTTGCTAAAATTTAAACTTTAACCTTACTATTATATAATCATACAACGTTCCTGGTTTTAGCGCGACTACGTCGCACAACTAGGCTAGTTTTAAATTTTAGCCAACCAGAGCAGCACTATGAAAAAAATTGGCGGTCTCAGCTCCAGGTTTTTTTGACCTAAGTGATAATCACGATCAATTTTATCGGCCAATCAGATCGTTTGGTAAACACATTGAGGAAGACGCTTGAGAACGGCCTTTTTATCAGTTGTTACACCAAAAATGTATAATTGAACCATCTATGTAGAATAATCAGTCATGTTATTCGGATTTTTCTGAATTATATCAAAGCCCGCATTCAGTTGCATAAAAAATGTGTAAGTTTTCTTTTATTTGTTAAATTTTGTTTCCAGTAGGATTGTTAATCTTCTAGTGAGAATGATTCCGGAGAGTTTAATATTATTGCAGCACGAATCACAAGCACTAAATAGTTATACAGATGATTTCATTATGTCGATGTTTTTATTACGGGGATACAAGATTATGAATATGGTTAACTGGTTCAGAGCACTAATTAGCTGTGTAACTGCCCATTGTTTGTCATAAATCAAAACCATGCCAATTGATATGAATTAGAAATTATGTACACTCATTGAATGACTGATATTTACAGAAAATTTTATGCATCATATGTACTGGATCCACTAATTTTTTCCAAAGTTTCTATTGATCATTAACGTGATGCCGAAAAATTCACCTAAGAAATCACTTTTTGCACACTAACCAAATAATAATAATAATTCGGTGTAAGATTTTGGTATAATATCGTTTTTTAATCTTGACACGAACTTAATTGAGATATCGCATTTTAAAGATAAAGTGGCATGTAATTTGGTGCGAATAATTCCAACCAATAGGAACTTTAGGAAAATTAGTAAATCCATATCAGTCATAGGACATGTTCACATATAAGAGCTTAGATGTTGTTACTTATAAATCAAATAAATTGACACCTAATTTTATATGTAAATTTATGCAAAAAAATTATTTAAATTAAATTTATTTAAAAATATACATATAAATCTTTCTTTAAATTTTAAATATTTATTCTTTAGAATTTAATACTCACTTGTTTAAAGTTTTAGTTCTTAATTTTAAGTAGAAGGTTAAAAATCTTTTATCAAAGTTGGTAAATTTTTTACTATATTCTTTAAGTCAATAATTGACTTACCCTATTCAATAATATGATTGGTTAAAATAGGTTTAAAAATTAAAGAAGATTTTACTAAGTAAAAATTGTTTCTAATTTTAATGATGATTAAATTATCAAAGTTGGCTTGGTAAATCTCAAGATCCATCAAGCTAATTTAATAATCTAACCACTATTAGAATCAGAAAAGCCTTCTCTATAACTTTTGTTAAAGTTAGACGAAATTTTTATTTAGTAAAATCTTCTTCAATTTTTAAAAGACTATTTTAACCAATTATATTATTGAATAGGGTAAGTTAATTATTTGACTTAAAGAACATAGTAAAGAATTGACCAACTTTGATAAAAGATTTTCAACCTTCTGCTTAAAATTCAGAACTAAAACTTTAATTAAAAAAATATTAAATGCTAAAGAATATATATTTAAAATTTAAAGAAAGATATATATATATATTTTTAAATATATTTTATTTAAATTTAATTTATAAACATCTTAATATTTAAGAAAAAAAAATTTTTGATTTGTAAATAATTACACTCTCATCTTAACACCAAAAAAAAAATAAAAAAAATAAAAAAATAAAAAAATAAAATAAAAATAAAAAATAAATAAAAAATAAATAATTACACTTAGTTGGACATGTCCTATGACTGATACGTATCAATATTAGTGTTCGTAGTCGACTCTAATTTATCTATTTGACTAACACTAAGTCATTATTTTTAAATCGGCTTAGCTAGCTAAGTCGAAGTCAATCATTCTAATTGGTCAATTTCATCACGTGATTTTAAATGAACATTATTGGTTAATTATTCACAACAATAGCTATGGGTAATAACGAATTAAATTAACCACATTTTCATTAGCGTTAGTGTTTGTAATCGACCTAAATTTGCTAACTCAACTATCTTAATTAGTGTGCAAAATAATAGTTTTCCTGAATTTTTGTCACTTCCTATATTCCCTATCAACAATCGATTAAGTTAATCTTTCAAAAAATAAACCACGGTCAACTACTAATATAGCGAAGACCTTTACACCGGGTTCACCGGTTTAACGGACAAATTGCAAAGGATAGAGTTTTTAATTTATAAATATTATAATTTATAATGGTTATCGTGATAACAGATTAATAATAAATAAGCCATATAACGGAGATTTTTTTTCAACTTAGATTTCTGTTATATAGATAGTCGACAGTAACTTAGTCGGCTAAGTCTATTTTGTCGGCTAATGCTGACTACGTACAATCGTTACTCAATATGTACGTAGTTATGTCATTGAGCACTACTTGAATGTGCCGCAGCAAAAATTCTTTAAAGCTCGTTTATGTTCGGGTTAGGGTCAAGGTTAGGAATTAGAGTGGGAATATTTGTATAGTAAGATTGCCCAACGAAAACTTTTTGTTAGAGCAATAACCTTATCTTGAAATCCGATTTGTAAGTTCAGGGACTCTGCGCCACAAACCTGACACGCATTCAAGTCATGCCTGCAGATCATACGGGTTTTTCTGTCGAACTTTTGGGAATAAGATATGGTGTAACGCGAAAATCAAGAAACAATCACTTTTTTATCGCATGAAAAAAGTTTCTCAAATTTTTGTATAGTGTATCAATCTAAATAAAGGTAACGTACAGATAGTATTAGTGTTTATGCACAATATTAATTAGCAAACCACATTTTCCGCAAATCTTTTAAATATTTCTACGCTTAATACTTCGTCTATAGTCGTCGATAACTAATATTATAATGGAATTGAAAGAAAGAGGAAAAAATTATTTCGAGGAGGGTAAATATGAGGAAGCAATAGCAGATTTAACCAAATTTTTGGAAACTGAACCGAATAATGCATTTGCATTGAAATATCGAGGTGCTTCATATGGAAAATTGCGAAGATATAAGGATGCATTTAAAGATTTAAATAAGTCTGTAGAAATCGAACCAAATGACGTATTTTCGTTACAATACCGAGGGGCAACTTATCGTATGTTGAAAAAAAATGATAAGGCTATTGAAGATTTAAGTAAAGCGTTACAAATTGAACCAAATAATGCATTCGCATTATGGAATCGAGGGGAATCTTATTGCTGGTTAGAAAGATTCGAAGAATCACTTGCTGATTTAAATAGAGCATTGGAAATTGAACCAAACAATGCAAAAGCAATAGGAAGTCGTGGTGAAACTTATCGTAAGATGGGTAGATACGAAGAAGCACTGTTGAATCTTAATAAATCGTTAGAACTTTTAGATTATAAACAAGATACATCGGTAATAGGAAATCGAGGGTTAACTTATCTCTGTATGAAAAAAGACGAATTGGCAATTGCAGATTTTAATAAAGTATTGGAGGTTAAACCAAATACAGCATATGCATTGAGAGGTCGTGGTGAAGCCTATCACTGTTTGGAAAGATATGATGAGGCACTTGTGGATTTAAATAAAGCATTGGAAATCGAACCAGATGATCCAACTGCATTATATTATCGAGGAAGAATTAATCTCATGAGGAAAAAATTTGAAGGACTCGTAGATGTAACTAGAGCAATGAATATTGAACCAAAATTGAAAGAAATGTTCAATGCGCAACGTTAAAGACTTAAAATTTATTGCCGGCAATTTATCATATAAGGCCGTTCAACTCCGAAGCTCTACTTATCATTGTTGTAAAATTTAAAATTATGTGAATGTATTCAGACATCTTGCTTATCCTATTCTAATTTTTTTGATATTAAATTTGAATAGTTTATAGTTATTTGATTTGCTTTTTTATTTTATAATATTAAATGGTTGTAAATAATAAAATGTAAATGCTTTACAAATTTCTTATGTAATAGGATTTTCGAAGTAATATTGTAAATGATAATGGGACAAAAATATTTTCCAGAAAATAGATTTAAAGCTTAGCCTACCAATATATAGATGTATTTATAAAATTTGTGCTCGTTAAAAAAATCTCTACCACGTATTATCATAATCGGATAATTATCATATATTTCGATCGTTACTATTATAACCAATCAAAAAGTGATTCACTACACCGTTCATACTCCAAGTACGATAACTACCAAGTATTGATGTACATTTCGTTTTCGATTCGTTCAATTCTGATAGAATATTCTCCCATCTTATCACTTCATGAAGATTTCCCAGTTTTTTCTGTCGATAGTCGATTGACTGGTTTTTGTCCCAACATTTTTCATCAGGTTAAAGTAGCATTGTGGTGCTTCTTCGTTAGCAAGAGTCGTAAGCCTTCACATATTTGCAATAAATTGATTTCACCCAATTTATGAAAGTAAGAACGATCATATCATATAAACCACCCACATTATTGCATAATTTTACAATTATAGTTTGAAACACTATGTAATCTGAACAGAAGTACAAACTTCTATAACAATCAAAATGTATGCCATTTTACATACTTAATCTTAATTATATTTGTAAATCAAAAATTAAAATTTATTAATACTGTATTTATTCCTAAATTTTAAAATATATTTTAGAACTTGGTGTATTCTAAAGTAAGCATAAAAAATTTTTAGGATGCCTAAAAACCATTATTTTAGAATAATCTTATCTTCTTAGTATTAATTTCAAAAATCAATTATATAAAGTTGGTTTTAAAAATCTTTAATAACCTTTAATATTATATTATAAAAAATCTATGCACAATAATTATAAAAAATATTTATAAGTGTTATATATAAATTTTTTTTAATAAGAAATTTAAACATCAAAGTTCTATTATAATTAGCATTAAATATTTAATTTCAAAAAATCAATAAAGAAATTTCGTAAAGAAAAATACTACAATTAACCTATCACTACTTCTATTTTTAAAGTTAGAATGCAGTTTGAAACAAAAACAAAGATTAGATATAATAGTTTGAATTTTAGGTTATACAAAGTTTTTAGAGGTTTTGAGCATTTTTACTTAGTTTACTTAACCTCTATTTCTTAGTATATTTTTTGAGATATAGCACTTTAGATAATGATTACTATAGGTTATAGTTAGTAATATTTTTTTTTTATAAAATAATAATTATATAATAACTAATAATTTAGTATACTTTTTTTACTTAAAAAATAAAAAAGTATAGCTTAATATTATTTAATATAAATAAACAAAACCAAATTAAAAAAATTTTAATATCTAAATTTTTTTTAATATTAAGATAAAATTATGTTCTTATTTTTATTAAAATTTAATTAAACTTTTTATAAGTAAAATATATAAAAAATATTATATTTAAATTTTATATCTAAAAAATATTAAGATTAAAAACTTAGACAAATTATTTATAACCTAAACCTATTAGAATAATTAAGACTTACTTAGATTTCAGAGGTTGTAATTATAATATAAGAATTTATTTAATATTTAATTCATTTTAAATTTTGAATTAGCAATTAAGTATAGTATATTTTGAGACAATGAGTGTTAAAAAATATAAAATATTGAATATAATTATAATTATCTAATAAATAAAAGTTTAGAAATATGATATATATTTAAATTTGAGTATAAATTTGTTAATTAAAATATAACAAAATTTAATAAAAAACATAATAACTGTTTTAGAAATAGAATAATATTTTTACATAATATACAATAGATAACTTTTATAAAAGAGAATGTTAGATTTGGCTAGTAGATAATTAAGGTTTTTAATTACTTTGGTTCAAGAAGACAAGTCAGGTAAGTCATGTAAACAAGAATTTGTATAATTAATAATGTTTAAAAAAATTAAAAGAATTTATACTGGATATAGTATAAGTGTATTTATTATTAATAATATATAATATTGAACTTGTTATTTTTAATAAAGCAAATAAAGCATACTTCTTTTAAAAGTCATTTTAGTCTTTATTTATAAAACTAAATTTGTTACTTATAAATACAACTTTATATTTATTATTTGTTAAAACTAATTAAAGCTATTTATATATATTTATTTAATATTCTTTATTTTCTTTTATTATTCATTATTTACCTCTTTGGATCTAAAATACTATTTCTAATTTTAAATACAACTTATTACACTTATTATATTTATTGCATTTTATGCATTTTTCATAAAATTAGTTATGATATTTTGGTATTACAGTATATTAGAGACATGTTATAGTTCTATTGAGCTATCTAAATTAGAAGTCTAAAAACAAATCAAATATAAACTAAAGTATTAAAAATATATTGTAAAGTAAATGCTAAAGTTCAGATAAACTTTGCAAAGGCATAGTTCTATAAAGATTTGCAAAATAAGTAAATTAATTAGCAGAAGAACTGTTTGAGTCTTATTGTTAGATGACCAGTTCTAAAAAGTGCAATAGTCTGAATACTAATACAAAAATATTAAAGTCAACTTAAATAGTTCTTAATAAGAGACAAAATAAAAGTAGCTTATTTTATATTACTAAAATTTTTAAGCAGATTTATATTGATATATAGCATTTAATCACTATATAAAAGTAAGTTAATAAAAAAAAAACAAATTTTTTCTAAGTAAAAGCTTTCTTGATTTTAGACTTAATATTTTAACAAATTTTTTATTTTAATTTTATATAATTTTAAAATTAAAATAAAAAAATTTTTAGCAAATTTGATTAAATAGTTATTGAGTTATTTAATTTAAAAATTAAAAAAAAAATTTATTAAAAATAATTTGTCTCTTTTCTATTGATTTTCTTCTATATATTGATTAAAAATAATCAATATATATTAATTAAATGCTATATATCAATATATATTACTAGTATTGGTTATCTCATTAAGCATGATATACTAACTTAATATATTTAAATTAAAATGTAATTACACAAATTTTATATATTAACTTGTAATTAAATAAATATATTTAATATTTAACAATTTATAGAATATATTTATAAAAAAAATTAAATTAATTTTTAATTATATATTGTTTAAAAAAATTCCAAAGTTAGTTACTTTTTTTTAAAAAAATTAAAAAATTAAAATTTTTAATATATTTTAAATTAACCAATCATAATTAAGTATTTTTATACTATTAGCAAGCACTTTGATATAATTATAATATGTAAAACTGCAAAATTTCAACTATAATTATTATATAAAAAAAATTATAATAAAAAAATTACCTATTTAAATTAGTTTACTATTGTCATACTACAGAAAATATAGACTAGAAAAATCCTTATTCATAGAGTAAATAACAGTCTTTCATATAACATCAGATGTATTAGTACTCAAAAGAGACATTAAATTTGGGTAAGTACAAAAAGTAAGTATTACTTTATTTACTATATTGTGAGACTTGTTTTTTATATTTAGAACATATTACTTATATACTTTTCTCTATATGCTATATATACTATATATATCAAATATGCTTTATACACTAATTACTCTAATTACACTATATACACTAAATCAACTAATTATACTAAATCTACTAATTATACTAAAGCTACTAAGTATGCTAAATCTTCTAATTATACATATATATTAATTATGCTAATTATATTATATTTACTATCTAACATATATATTACTTTAATTATACAATTAATTCTTTAAATAAATTATCAACAATCTTATTCTAAATTATAATATATATAAAAAATTAATAATTTTATATAATAAAATTAATAATACTTATATATATAAAAAGTTAGTAATTATAAATTTTTTTTAGAATTTAAAAATTTTATTTATATTTATATATATAAAGAAAAATATTACAATTAACTTATAATGATTATCACTATCCTTATTTTTAAGATTAGGATGCAGTTTAAGACAGAAACAAAGATTGGATATAATAGTTTGAATTTTAGGTTATATATAGTTTTCAGAGATTCTGAACATTTTTACTTAGTCTATCTGACCTCTGTTCTTAGTATGTTTTTTGAGATATAGCTTCTAGATAATGATCACTATAGATTATAATTAGTATATTTATATATAAAATAAACTTTCAATATATATTTTATATTTATATTATTTAAAAATATATTGTAGTAAAGGATTAGAAATATGTTGACCAGAATCAACATACTAGGCAGGTTATAATATTCTTTATAGCTATGCAAGCTAAGCTTAAAACAATGAATAACTGTAGAAAATAATACAAATACTATCTCTACTTTTAATATTTCATTTTCTACTAGGAAAGACAAATGTTATATCAAATTCTTAAAATAACACAACTTATCTCAAATCATTAAATCTGTTATACTCAAAAAATTCATTCAACATCTATATCTAAATAACTTTTTCAATCTAATAAAATATCTATAAATTTTAAAAAAAACAGAATTATACATTTACTTAAAAACCACAGATCAAATACTATCAAATTATACAAAAATAGATTCTTCTCTCTATAGTATATATAGTTATTTATTATTACTAACACCTTTCAATTGGCAATTCCTAACACAAACTCTACTAATCTCTTTATATTCAACTCAACCAATCCATTCAAACATTACTACAATACCCTCTTCTATTCTATCAATAATCATACCTAAACATATTTCTATTCTAATTAAAATTGGTTTAATAAATATAAATAGTCTCTTTTAAGCCAACAAGAAACTTTTCTTAA